GTGTGTGTGTGTGTGTGTGTGTGTGTGTGTGTGTGTGTGTGAGAGAGAGAGAGAGAGAGAGAGAGAGAGAGAGAGAGAGAGAGAGAGAGAGAATTCCGGATTTGGACGAGGGGATGGTTGTCGGTGTTGTACAAGTCAACACAAAAGCAATTGTGGATTTGTGAGTTAACTGGACGGTCATTCTTTGGTCTGCCGCTGGGCTCCCCACATTTCCACTCAACCAGACCAGAACTGGGGAGGAATGCCTGCCTTCCCTGTCCTTAATCTTCCTGCTCTTTCTTCCTTGTGAGACGTTTCCTTCCCTTACGTTGGAATTCGGAAGTCTGCAATCAACTGGGAAGATTGTTTTCGTCTCACCTGCATGTAAGCAAAAGAGTTTTCACACCAGCCGAATTGAATCTAATAAGTGGGACCAGTAATCCTTTTCTTCTCTGTGCACATGTACTATTTGTTGTAAGATGACTTTCCCAGTGTTTTCCAGTATGCATATTGCGACATGAAGAGCCCAAGGAATTTCACGTCCGCAACTGGTTCACAGGCTGACTTGGTAAGTTCAGTGTATAGCAACCTCCCAATTTCCCTAAGCTCAGTGTACTTCTATTCACATTGGCACTCGCCAACTAGCTATACTGGTGCCAGACGTGTGATCACAATGAAGCATACATCTGCACTCTGGCCCAACCACAACCTCAACTATCGCTCTCCCCTGACAAACTTCTATTCACGTTGGCGCTCGCCAACCGGCTATACTTGTGCCAGACAGGTGTGAAGCTATCAGTATTTTGATCACGATCACAATGAAGCCTATATGTGCGAGGAACGACTCCACGACATCAGATGATCACTCACTCAACCTAAGCCCTCACCTGCCTCTGCATGCACCTTTCTGTTTGGTCATCTGTCAAATCAATCGGAATCAGCCTCTCAATCAATCACCAATGAACACCTCAGTCAACCAATCCTATTGTGTGCCATCCAATCCAATCCAATTGTATCTCATCGTGTCAATTCTGGTTTCTAATCTATTCCAATCCAACTAAGTACAATCAATCAATCAATCAATGTCCAACGAGAGGACCAGTAAGAATTGGGGTCCGCATGCTTTCACTCCAACACCATGGACAATTCTGGGCATGCGCATCCTCTAACAGTTGGGAATCGTCTGCCTGCTTCCCTGGGGGAGAACTAATGAGCAATATGACCGTATTGATAGAAACTATCACATCGTCAGCAGCAGCAATATCCGTAAGGTTTAGCTGGGCAAAGATAGAAGTGGAAGAGGAGGTTCTAGGTTTTGTGTATGTACCTGAGCTTGAAAAGGGTGCTCACCGCTCGGACTATTTTATCAATGTCTGCCTCAAGTTTGCAAATGTTCAAGCGGCTGAAGCTTACGGCCTCTGTCAGATGTTGACGCCAACTGGTCACAGCGATGAGCTGGTTTTGTTAGCTTGACAAGTATCTAACCATCTGGTGTGTGCTGAAAGTAGATGCTGATATTTGCTGGACAGCGCTTGTCCTGGCCTACCCTATGCACCTGGCGCACATCGAGGATAAGCGGAAGGAGATGAGGAAGGGGAGGGAGAGAAGTGGGGAATATGGGAAAGGTAGGGAAGTTGGAAACCATATGTTTCTCAAGTCGTCAATAAATAAAATTGGTGGGTTTATTTGACAATTTCTAATACTCTCTTCACTTCCCGATACCAATGTGTGTTTTCATTGTTTGCCCATGAAACATGGAATCCAATCTTCTGCGAAGCTCTCAGGCCTCAGTGGCCCTGTAGTGGCCACAGCAGAGTTTACCTGGTGGGCCCTAAGTGAAGGCCCCGACCAGCCAACCACCCAATAGGGCCTATATGGGGATAATGGGGGTCCTGACCGAGCAGGTGCCTGGCCCAGGTAGCAGACGGGTAGGCAGTCCCTACTGGAGAGTCCAGACCCCAGCCAGAGCAGGTCAAAGGAAGAGAAGGCGGAGGCAAATACACATTTGGCAGCAGACAGTATCTTGCATGAGCGCTTGGTAGGGAGTAGCAGCAAGTGTCCACCCCAGGAAGGAGACCGGGGCGGTGGCTTCTCGCACAGTCCCTGCCATAGCTGGGTGGCGGGTGGTTGAGGTAGGTGGGGAAGGATAGCAGCAGTGGGAACTGGCAGATACTTACCTGGTGTTGGCTGACAAGCGCCTATGTGATCAGAGTTATCAGACTCTTCAGCAGCATCTGGCGAGAGGAGAGGAGAAAGAGAATAAGAGTTAGTAGGTTAGTGTATGTAGGTTGAGCAGGAGAGTAGTCTAGAAGGACACATCATAACGAGGGCTACTACTCTGTCGTCGTACTGATTGCTGGAGCCGCGTTTGCCATTCTGCTTTCAACTCGGCGTACTCATGATCGGTCGTCAATGAGCTCTTGCATCTCGGCATTTTTGTGTTCTCACTTGCTACTAGTTGCTAGTTGGTTGCGTTTTGGTATTGGAAAGGGTTCTCCAACACTCGCCATTTTACCGGTGAGGTAGGTCTTGCAGTGCGGGTGAGTATCTGCAGGCAGTGCTGTTGATGCTTTTGCCAGCTGGTCAACCCGTCCACTAGGTAGAGAGTGGATAGGCAGAAGGTTCCTGGAACAGGTGGCAATCCGGTGAGAGTATATTAATGCTTGCTGTTCCTTGAGGAGGTTCTGGCATGGTATTGTCGGTGGTTTCTCTGCATTGACTGATAATCAAACAGAGCATCATAAACAGTTGGTGAGATAATCTGTAGTTTGGGCAGCATCAAGTAAGTATCCCTTACCTTATCTCGCCTCCATTATATTGACTATATTAAATAGTATATTTCTATAACCACTTTCTTCAGAAGGTACTGAAGGTGATATTTCTTGCAGTGCCGAGCCTTCCAAAGAAAATATTTTTTCTTGAATTTGGCTATGTGGAATAAAGAGCCCGACCCCTATCCGTGAGTAGTGTCATCTCATTTTGAGGTGTGAATGCGCGCTACCTTGAGAGTCAACCCTCGTCTGCCGCATCTGTTGGGAGAAGGGTGGTGCAGGGGAAGTCTCCAGGGATGATGGTAGCACATGTGTGGGATTAGTTCATGTATGCATGTGCAGATCACACCAAGGTTCAGCAGTGTCGTAGAGACATCCAAATTGGGTGGCCCATTGTCCTGTTGCAATGTTAACTAAGTTTTGAGGGAAGGTCGTTGAAGAGTGACGTAAAACAATTCTTTGGGAACTCGTCCTGTTGCAACTTGAAGAACTATTTTAGCAATTACAATTTTGCTTCGTTAGTTATAGGACAGAAAATATTGTTGGTCCTAGGGACACTGTATAGACTATTTAGTATATCCAGACATATTAGTTATCTGCATTGTCTTCTGAAGAACTGATTAGAGTAGAAATTGTGGTTGCCGGAAATTGTGGCTGCGACTTCATTTTTGCAAGGACCAGCAGCCAGCTGGTTGAATGGTTGGTTAGTAGAGGATGGGCATCCCAAGGATATAACCGGGGGGCCCAAGGAAGCACACTCTAGAACAGTTTATGACAATGGTTGCAGAGCAGGTTTAGGATAGGACAAGGGCACAAAAGGCCACAGACAAGCTCAACCTACTAGAGATTCATAAGTTCAAGAGGCGTCCTTGATGAAACGAGTGGAGGAGCTGATAAAGTGCCTCGATGAAACAAGTGGAGGAGCTGATAAAGTGCCCCGATGAAATCTTGAGCGTGCTGCAAAGGTAGGAGAAATAGTCCCAGCGGTAAGATCGGGACATATTAAGAGTCGATGGTGTCGGCGTGAATACCCTTACAAGGGTATTCACGCGTATTTTTGCACCTTGCACAAGTTGCACCCGAGATGGGATATAAGATAGATGTTTACGTAAGTATTGCGGCCCACGGCCGACTCCCTGTAGCCGGAATGACCGCCGCGCGCGAGATAAAGTTAGAAGGTATGTGGACACAAGTTCAAGGCATGGGTGAATTTTTATCGCGTATTGATGGTCAGTATCTGTGATTAAAAAGTCTTTATTTTGATAAAAAAATAGGATTAAAAGCTTAGTTTCCGGGCTGCCGCACGACAATTTTGTCGGATTTGGTGGTCGGCAGCCCGACCGGTAGGCCAAGGTGTGGCCTTGGGGTACTTCGGTGAGGCTTCGCAGTGAGCGGAATGCGTTTATATGGGTTTCCGCAAGTGCTAGTACCAGCCTTGGGCATAGCACGATGGGTTACACTGTTTGACTGTTACCCAGCTGATTTAGGGATTGAGACCAGCATCCGGCACAGAGGGAGCAGCGGAGCGGCTAAAGGAACCACGGGGTTGAGGGTCTGGCTGGACTATCCCCTTTGGTTTTATCGTCGGCCCCGACCCTGGGACCTACTGGTGGGACAGAAGTGGTGCCGACGGCTCCCCTCCAGCTTGGAACAATCCCGGATTTTTCATTTATTTCATATTTCATATTTATTATTTTTACTTTTTCTAAGTCCCACTTCCGGGACCAACCTTGGCACCAACGGGCCTAGCTCAGTTGGTATACCCCTGAACTGCTGAAATGCGGACCTGAGCTCAAATTCCACTGGCGGCAGATAAGTAAAATACTGTAATTCTGAATTACTTGGGGCTGGGCGGTTCCACGATGACATCGATGGGCCGCAGCTCGGAACCAGTCCTTCAGGATATCCGTTAAAACTTGGAACGATGCCGGGGAGATTAGTATAGCCCCTGCGCGTCTGAGATACTGGCAAAATTCCTCTATTTTGGCCGTTGTGAAACATGGGCCAAGGAAGTAAACGTGCATGCCAACCGGTGGGTGCCTAGCCCACGAGGCGGAAGAAACCTGAGTGGCGGGACCCTCTTTGCATGCACCATCCACCAACCACGTTCGGCTGTGAGAAGTTTGAGTGTGAGCATGCTCATTGGGACCCGACAGGTGGTGAACTAGGCCTGAGATCAATGGACCTAACTCAGTTGGCACGCCCATGGACTGCTGAAATATGGGCCCAAATGTGAATTCAGATGCTTACAGATGAAGAGAATAGGATCAATCTGAATTGCTTGGGGACCAGCCAGTTCGACAGGCGATATCTCAGGTCGGTGCCTTGGTTCTTCGGGACATCCGTTAAAATTGGAACGATACAGAGAAGATTAGCATGGCTCTGCGCAAGGATAGTACGTATAAATCGAGGGCGATCATCTCTTACCAGCATTTTGCATCCCAAAATGTTATCGGACCAGGTGTCGTTAGGGTGTGATATAATCGAGACGAGAAGGAGCTCAACGGGCTGATGAAGACGGCAACGAGGAAGGTGAAAGGCGAGGTGAAACATGAGACACAGGAAACGAGCGGAAGGGGAAGGAATGGACGTTTACCTATTTGCAGCAATGGGTCGATGTATTTGCCCATGTTCTAGCAAATGATCCATTCTCATTTTGCGCACCGGGTGAGTAGCAGCGTTGAGGCACACCGCTATCTTCATCGTGTTTCAATGTTTCATTGACGTGCTCATCTGTTTCATGCTAGTCTAAGTCGTCGTCAACTTCTTGCACACTGAAGAGTCGATCTGAAGGTCG